CCCTCTGGAGCATGACTTTTCTTCTGTTCCACTAATTCCCAATACAAGCACAATATAAACTTCCCTGAACCCGAAAGTCTCACCATCCACATTTCTGTGAGGTTCTTCCACATTCATAACTTATTTCTCCAAGGAAATTAACATTTCTCTGAGCTCACAGTACTCACAGGCTCAGGTGTAAATAAAGGAGGTTGGGTAAGACTCTTTAGGAGCAGAATCCCAAACCAGGAAAAGTAATATTTTCTAAGACACAACATGTTTCTATACACTGATGGTCTGTTTATGTTATGCTTTAGAACAAAAAAGACTAATGCTTCCTTAATTGCAGTGGCAGCTATTATGATTGTAAACATGAATCCTTTCTTTTATCCTTCATATAATTCAAAGTACCATCCCAACACTCCTGAGCAAATACCTCTTGCCCTTTCCTGTCTTAATATATCAGCTCTTGAGGGAGGAATCCAAATTTAAACTTCAAGGCCACAGAGGCTCAGGACAACTCAGAGCCTGCCCTGTGAGAACAAGAGGGAGAACAGTTGCAGATTTAATTTTAGGGAAACATTTCTCTCTCCTCTGTCTTTCTCTCCCTTCACCTCCTCTTCCCAAGAAAGCAAACATTTCTTTCATTCCTAGATCACATTTGAAGCTGATTTCTTTTCACCTTTGAAAGAATTCACTAGATTATTCCCCATCTGCAGCTTTCTAAAGTGACTCCTAGACTGAAGTGCTGTTCTTGTCAGCCCACCCTGCAATTACCAGGAGACAAGAAGCACCCTGCAAAAACTGTGACAGAAAAAAAATCATTTCACAGCGATTTATTAGGCATGCAGCCATTAATGACTTTGCAAGTGTGGAAAGCAAGATGGAGGGCAGAGCCTGAGCCAACAGTAGCTGTCAGAACATCATTGTCATCTATCGGGTTAGAAATACTTAAGCCATCTGATGTCCAGCCTGGCATCCCAGCATAACACCAAGCCTGGAAACAGCAATAAGTTTTGACATTGAGGGGTCTCTTCTAAATCACAGAGGTTGACAAAGAAAAGGGAGAAACTGCATAGATGTTTCGTTGTATGGCATAGAAAATAAAGAATCCTGATCTCCAAGCACATCCTCCTAGTGCATTAACTCTGCTGTCGGGGCTGAAGTACCAGAGGGAAGAACCACTTCACTGAACTGAAAGGTGTTTTGATATTCATTCACAGATGTTATTTTTGTGCTTATTGTGAAAAAAAACTTCTTTGTTCTTTTGAATAAAAAGTCACCTTGTGATGTATTTGGGAAAAATCCAAGGAAGTGCCAAGCTCCTACAATTCCCACCTGCTGGGAGCAGCGGGTGCTTGGCACCTGGCATAGTGAAGCTCTTGAGAGAGGTTGTGCCCCGAGTTGCGTTCGTGTAAATACAACACAACTTTGCTAGCACTGACTGATCCATCCCAGATGAAATTCAAAGTAAACAAGAGCAGATTTTTTTTTTTTTTTGCCAGCACCAGGGGCCTACAGTGGCAACGTTAACTTTAGAACAGATCGATTTTGCAAGATGACAAAAGAACATTCTGATCTCACTCCTGTGAGCTCCTACTCAGTAGACAATTGCATCCCATCTCAGAATAGACTTTTAAAAATGTTCAAAGCAATGTGCAAGCAGTAACTTCTAATGGCTTAAAAAGGAATTTTATAATGCTAATGTCTATATATTACAGATATAATGCATCTAGAGAGCAAAGGTTTCTATTTAAATCTGTAGCAGCTTTCAAAGATATTTGGACCAGAAATTTCCATTTAGGCATCTCTAATTTCAAGACTTCTGAATGTGCTGCTGAGACAGAAAGAGGTTGATATGACCTTTACAAAGGGTCCTGCAATTACATTCTGGTCCATCTAAATTACTAGTTTAGGTCAGTTGCATATTTACAAAGAAAACAACAACCAAACAAACAGATGTTCCATCATCCCAGCCATACAGCAAACACTCCCCTGCCATCCTACAGAATAAAGCCCCTGCTTTATTCTTGGCTACTGAGCACAAGCTGAGAGCAGTGAGGAAAGCCAGCCTGCAGGAATTTAGTGGTCCACCACTCCCAGAAGCACAGGCAGGGTACCACCCACCTGTGCTGAAGAAGACTGAGCACAGAAAGGTGAAAATAGAGTGTTTCCAGTGGTTTTTTTTGTATCTTCTATATTGTTCTTCCTTGAGAAAGGTGTACCTGAGAAATATCCTGGAGTGTTGCAAGCCACAAACCTGCTTTCTTCAATTGATCTCTTTTTTCCCACTGTCACAGACAACCCCCAAAACAGTAAAACTATATGGAGGAGGGAAGAAATGCATACAACTTTCTTTTCAGAAATCCCTATTACTCCACAATCCTCTAGCCTAATTATAGTGTATTTTGCATCCTTCACTTTTTTTCCCCCTAATGTATTTTACTTTTTCAGTCAGCATTTCTGTATGACCAATAAATATGTTTTAGGTCAGCCTGCATCACAACAGTACCTCTCTGTCCCATTGCTTCCTCTTTCAGAATGGACTCCTCTCTCCCCTCCTACTCAGATCTTGTTAGTTCTTCTCTTGTTCCTAATTTGAAGATCCAAATGAGCATGAATTACATGTCTCAGCAATAAACATGATCTCACAGAAGCACAAAAAAGAGGATGAACAAAATAAAAATTACTGTCTGGTGAAAGCTCCCTTGACAACTACAGCTACACTGACAGGCGCCACTGAAATAATAGGAATGATGCTTCAAAACAACAGCCAAGACAACGTTATGAAAGAGAAAAAAAAACAGTCTAAACAGATCTTTTCAAATGCAGATTCCTCTGTCAAGTAAGGAGAATGTGAAAAATGTTCTTTCTTATAGCACAGCCATGTTCAAACTCTGCCACATTCCAGAAAGCCACTAAAAATATGAGTACAACCATGGGCTCAGTTTGACGAATGTAATGATGCAGAATGGAAGAGAAGGATCATATTTTGGGGATGGAGAGGAAGGATGGAAGGTGTTATCACCAAATCTTGAAGTTCTTCCAACTGGGTGAACAACAAAACTTAGGTTGACTTCAGTGCAACATCAGGCATTTGCAAGCTTGTATCTGAATCACTACCATTACCCAGGTGACAAACTGCATAGCAAAAAGCCAAGAGATCATGAACATGAAAAATTATGATCCACTACTAAAAATGTTCCATACAAGACAGAACTAAGGCAATACTCCTGAGTAAAGGTTCTTTATGGATTAGGGAGGAAATTAGGAAAAAAACATTAGCATTCCTCTGTCAATAATGATTTAGTGCTAATGAGTTCCTTAAATACTTTTTTCATGTAAGCTTCACACCATAAAAGAATGAAAATTGTTCTAAATTCTGGTATGGTCAGAGATATCTGGTGGTCAGCAGGTATTTCAAAAACCTGCTGGTTTTTGAAAAAAACCTGTAAAATCCTGCAACAACCACAGGAAACTCCAAAACTACCTATGGCTCCTCAGCAGGCAGAAAATGCAGCTCCTGGGATCCAACTGCACAAGAGTTTCTGGCTAGACTGAGTCAGAGGTGGGGGGGCAGTGGAAAGAGATGGCAAAGACAATATTGCAGGCAGGGTGGGAAGGAATAATGAGCAGGGGGGAGTGGTGCTTTGGTGTGGTACATTTTATTTGCTGGTATTTTAGATCCCTATTGTGAAGTACTACTGGCAACATGGTAAAGTTTATTGCCTAAAATCCTCTGTCACAAATACATAGGCAACACCCATGTTAGCAGAAACAGACCCTTTTCTTCTAGTACTGAATGCACTCTGAGCTCCAGAAGTTTGGCTTGGGCTCTTGGGCTTGCATTCCTCCCCAGAGAAAAATAAAATCTGCAGAAGAGTCATGTACTTTTCCTCCATTTTATTCCACACACTCAAGACACCTAATAAATTTGACTTCTTATTCTTTCCTAAAACAAAGGAAAAATCATAGAACCAGAAATATATTTTTTGCTCCTTGGTGGCCTGGCAAAGATACGGGTAGAACTGTTTCTCACTTTTATATAATGAGATTTAAAACAAACTAATAAACAAAAAAACCCCAAACATCAATAAATAAAACAACAGTGCACAGAAAAGATACAAGGACTTTGTCATTTCTTGCCAGAAGCACTGAAACCAAAAGTACATCAGGACTGAGAATAGCAAACTAATAGCTACATGGATCACAAGAACATCCTAATAGTAAAGAAAACAAATAATCTAAGTTTTGAAAGGCATGTAATTCTGAAGATGGAGCCAGTCAGCCTTTCAGTACTCACTGGAAATAGAAACTTTTGATCTGTGGTTATTCTGTATCTATATCTACAATTTCTTGCGTGTTACTTTATAGCGGAATACACAGAACAGAGCCGGTGAACAGGCTGCATGGCTCACTAGTTTGCTCCACTGGGAATACAACTGCTCTACTCCTTCGGCAATGACCAGACTGCTTGGATCCAAATCTGAGCGAGCTCTGGGTTCCCCAGCCCTGGGAAATTCACAAGTGGATTAGTCTTGAGAGAGAGGGAAGAATCAGATTAAACGCTGGTTCAGCCACAGGAAGGGACAGTTCCCGGAGCCAAACCTGGGAATGCTGAGACCAGCGTTTGGGGGTGAACAGACCTTTCGCGGCGAGTCTGAGAGGGAGCTGGGTGAGACAAACTGAGCCAAGCCCACAGCCCAGGGCACAGGAGCACTTCTACAGCAGGGAGTAAGAGTCACTTGTGAAACTGCGACAGTGAGGATACTCCTCCGTGCCACGGACCCTGCATCCTGCGCTCCCAGCACTGCACGGGGGGCAAGACCCCACTCCTCAGCCCACCCCAGATGTGGAGGACTCGCCTGTTGCAGGGAGCACCCCCAGCCCAGCATGCCCCAAACTGCAGAGCTCGGCGCAGGAAACACCTCTCCCTGCCTCTCACTGCTCTCCATGTCAGCGAAAAACATGCCTAAACCACGCCAGCTGCCGAAGGGGAGGAAGAGCGAGGAGCCACTTACGGGGATGTGCACTCGCAACATGAGTTTCTTGTGGCTGGAGCTTTTCCTGCTGCTGCTGCTGCTGCTGGTGCTGCTGGAGGCATCTTTCTTCTTGTCCATGGCAGTGCTTCCCATGCCTTCACCCAAGCGTGGTGCTGAGCGATGGATCTGGAGAGGGAGGCTCCTCTTCCACTTCTCCCCACAGTCCCACGGGCCGCAGTTACTCCAGGCTCCTAATATTCTTTTTTCTTTTCTCTCTCTTTTTTCTTTTTACCCCCTGTCCTAATGGCCTTAGGAAATTTGGGGGGGTGG